CTGTGTTGTTTTTTTGTTTTTGGTTTTTTGAGACAGGGTCTCACTATGTGGTTGAGACTGACCTGGAACTCACTATGTAGCCCAGGCTGGTCTTGAACTCACAGCAATCCTCCTGCCTCGGCCTCCCGAGTGCTGGGATTACAATGTGCACCGCTATGCCCAGCAGGAAGTGCTGTGTTGTACAGAGCCTGTAGGGCAGTGTCCCCCACACAGTAAACCCCAGTGGTGCACATACCAGCAGCAGTCACTAGCTGACACCCTCCTCGAGGGTTGGGAGCATCTTAACCAACATTTGTAAATTCTCATGTTCGGTTCACATTGCTGCCTACATTCATAGGTGCAGGTGACTCTCCATACTCTGTTCTAAGTACATGATATGAGTTACCTCATTTAATCCTAACACTATGAAATTGACGCTGTAATTGGCCCATTTTATACATGGAAAATTGAGTCACAGAATGATTGACTCGGCTATATTCCTATTAACAAAGCTATGATGGACCCAGGATTGGGTCCTGGATCTCAGACCTGGTGGCCTGGTCCCAGAGCTGTGCTGTCATGGTGTAACCTCAAAGAAAGACCTCATTGCCCTTGGCAGTCACAAGGGTCTCAATACTTCATTTGGCAGCATGAGAAGATAACCACAAATTGCTTTAATATCACCTCTAAGTGTATTTTGGGTATGCCATATGTCCTATATCTTATCAGATCGGCCCAACAGAACTTTCTGCAGTGATGGAAACTGTTCTGTAATCCATGTTTGTCCAAGGCAGCCACTAGTCATTAGTCATTAGTCACATGTGGCTTTCGAGCAAATGAGATTTGGTCAGTACAACTACCAAGCTTTTTTACTTCTAGTTAATTTAAACTTAAATAGCCACACATGACTACCACATTGGGCAGCATAGATTTAGACATTTGCAAACCCTCTCCAAGTACTTGAGGGTCCATGTAATCATTTTACCTGGTGTACACACAAACAGGTACGCAGGCGATTCCCTGTCAGGCACAGGAGGAAACGCTGACCTGGAAAGCACAGTGGTGGCCTGAGGGTTTCTTCCCCTAGCTCAGGCCTTCCCTTAGGCCCTCCTCCTCCTCCTTGTGTTCCTCTTTGGCCAGCTGACTCCTCAGCTTATACCGTGTGGTCCTGTTGCCAACAGAGCCCGAGACATGGGTCAGACAGCCCCACCGTGGCCCACAGAGAGTGTGTGCATGGTAAGGCGGCTCCACGCTTCAGATTTGCAGGATCCTAGGCAGAAGAGACAACTCAGGAACCACGTAGATGGGCAGAGCACACTGCCACTCTCTACACTGCCTCCGCCAACATCGCAGACTGCTCCTCCCTGCTCCAGCCCCCCTTCCCCAGCCTGACCTTCTCTCACCAGGCTCTCGTGTCATCTCTGGCCTGTGCCTCCATTCCACACCCAGTTCACATCCGTGCTAATCTTTGGAGTGTTGGCTCTGCCCCTTCCTCACTGGATGCCCCTGACAAGCATCTTCCCGCACTGGTCCTCAGTTTATTTGCTTGTAAAATGAAGGGGTTGGATCCTAACCTGGTAAACATCCAGGGCAGACATTCCTAATTAGACTTCTTCCATGTGGAATTCAGATATGGCCTTAAAATATCAGTTCATCAGTAGGGACACACAAGATAGCATCTAGCTAATGTCCTGCATTATTCTGACCTTCTCCATGCAGAGATGGGAAAATTGAGGCCCTGAGAGATGAGATGGGTTGTTTTTTGGTTTTGGTTTTTGGGTGTTTTGGTACCGGGGTTCAAACTCAGGACCTTGCTTGCACTTTTGAGGAAGGTGTGGTGCCACCAAGCCTTTGGCAAGCGGGCTCATCAACGTGGTGGGAGGGGTGGTGGCTGAGGTGAGGCCCAGAGTTCTCTCCTGCCCTGCAGCTGAGCTGACTACAGAGCAGCCCTTCCCTCAGCATAGTAAAGCTGGCCCCTGATGCCTGCCTTTGCCTGGACAGGTACGGGAGGCAGATCTGAGTGACCAGTACGAGGCAGCCTGCGAGTCAGCCTGCAGCGAAGCGGAGTCCGCAGCAGCGGAGGCGCTGGACCTACCGCTGCCCAGCTACTTCCGCTCCCGCAGTCACAGCTACCTTCGCGCAATCCAGGCAGGCTGTTCACAGGAGGAGGACAGCGTCTCCCTGCAGTCCCTGTCCCCGCCGCCCAGCACCGGGAGCCTCAGCAACAGTCGCACACTTCCCAGTGAGTAACCTGATGCGGGGACCCCGGTTTCCCTGCCTGATGGGCGGGCCAGGGGAAATGCTGATGGGAAGGAATCCAAAGAGGGCTGGGCCGCCACTGGAAGAAACTAAAGCAGGTGGGCTCGACACTGAACTTCCCAGCGGGTGGCAAATCGGACCCCAAATGGGGACGACACAGGGTGTCGGAGGTGTTGGCGAGGGCGGAGCTGACGGGATCCTTGGTTGCTTACGGCGGCCACCTGCTGGTTGGCGAGCTTTACCGGAGCACACCGACCTGTGGGCCTTACCTAGTTCAGGCAACCTGAAGGGGAGCCTGCGGTGAGAGGGTGGAACTTCCCCCGGGATACTTGCAGGTTCCGCTCATATTCTCAATCAGGGATAATTCAGACTTCCTGATTCTTGTTCTGACTGCTCTGAAGGTGACCCATGCCTGGTAAGCGGGAGAAGGGGCCCGTGTGACTGAGACAGCCATTCAGTTACAGGGCAAGGGATATACACAGACACAATTTCTGGTTTAGCAGAGAGCTTTGAGCTTACTCTACATAGCTAACTCTCAGCCTCAGTTTCCCCATCTGTATATAAATTGAGGGCATGAGCCAGACCCTAGAGAGCTCTTGGTGAGCTAGAGACTGTACAGAAAGCTCACCTGTCACACCCCTAACCTGCACAAGGCCCTGCCTGAATGCTTCGTAGTCGGAGTGTGACAAGCCATGGCTGTTATTACTGGTTCTTAGATTTGACTCCGAGCTTCCTGATGATAGTCAAGGGTAATTGAGGTTGGAGTGTTGTTGGAAGAAACAGCTGTTTCAAGTGCTCGGTCATCCTTGTTGTCCATAAATGAACCCAAATTCTACATTCTACGCACAGGTGACCAACTTATTGACTAAATGAACTGGTCCTTGCAGGAGACAGAGCAAGAAACAATTGATCCATGAGTGTCTTTCACATCCTCCCTGGTCTGCCTGCTCTGCCCCTGGGTGACATGTGGGGCAGATCCCTGAGGCTTTTCTAGTCACTTTTAGAACTTAAGGAACAGCCTCATTTACCACCAATGGTCCAGTCTGTTCTGGTCTAATGTCTGTACTTGAGTTTGTCCACCTCAAATACCATGCACCTGCAGCTAGGGCCTGCTGGGGGCTGGGACACCCTAGTAGGGAGCTGGGTGTGGTAGTCAGTGTCTCTCTGTGCCTTGCTCACCAGTGGCTGCTTCTGGTTTCCCCGGGTGGGAAGAGAAGGTAGCTAGAGCAGGTGTTTTCTGGTATTGGGATTCTAAATGACTGGTGCCTCCTGAAGGGCCTTCCTGATGACTTCTTTCCTGGCAGGGACAATGCCCCTTCACCCCAAATGTTTTTTTTTATAGGAGTGATTGAACTCAAGGCCTTTGCACTGAACTACACCCCTACCCCCTTTTTTATTTTTTGAAACAAAGTTCACTAAGTTGCCCGGGTTGGGCTCAAACTTGGGATCCTCCTGCCTCAGCCTCCCACAGTCTTAGAATTGCAGATGTGTGCCATCGTGCCCAGCTCCATTGCTTCTTACTATCCCTCCACTTGTCCATCTGATGGTCCCCCACTTCCTCATCAGCCTTTTTGCTACAAGACCTGGCCTGCTAGCCCAGCATCTTGGGCAAAATCCTCTGAAGAAAATTCCAGCCCTCCTTTCTCCCATGGTGATCATTTAACCCAGTGGTGGTGAAACTGGCAAGCATGCCATAGCTCTGTTTGTTATCACTGAAAGCTCTAAAAGTTTTCCCATCACTGGCTTAACCCATTTAAAAATGAGGGTCTTTTCCTTGTGGATCTTTGGAAGTATGAACTAGTCTGCCACACCTTCCTTCCAGATCTGCCAGCCTCTCCACTTCAGCCTTCTCTAAACTAGAGTCGAGGCCATAGTTCCATGGCCTCCCAGGCTCTGTGCTGCAGTTCCATGGGAATCCTGGGTAAAGGATCCCATTCCCCACATTCTCACACCCCAGGGAAGTTCTCTAAGTATGAGGTGCCCTGGAGGGACATACAGCATCCCCAGAAAATCTTTCACATAAACCCTCACTCATCAGTTTCCTCCAAACCCAATTATTCATGAATGGACTGAAGATACACAATGGGCTATATAAGGCAGAACTGTTTAAAAGTTCCCTCTACTGGTTCTTGCCTCACTAATGCAGAACAACCACAAAGTCAGCGCAGTACAACCAGTAACATTCTTTCTTGCTCCCAAGTGGGTCATCTTAGACAGCTGTGCTTCATATTCTCTCATCCTCATCTGGTAACGGAAGGGTCTTCCTGAGATCAGAGGTCCAACCAGGGCATGTCCTCCTCATGGTGATGGCAGAAGGCAAGAGAGCAAGCCTAACCAATGACACAAGCCATTCATGGTCCTGATTTGTGAAACATCTGCTAACATCCTCTTGGCTAAATCATATAGCTAGGCTACAAAACAAAGGATGAAGTTCTCACTCACCTTTGTGTAAGAAACTGTGTTCGTATGACATAGGGTATGGCTGCGGGGGGGAAAGAATAGGGACAAATAATTCAGTCTGTTATCGTCCACTCTTTTGGCCACATTTATCGAAGTCCATCCCAAAAGAAAACACTTATTCCAAAGACCTCCAAAAATTTCATCCAATCATGCCGTCAAGATCTCATGATCTATGTCTGCATCATGTTCCTAAGTCTGGATGTGACTCCTCTTAATCAACCTATGATCTAAACAACCCTGTCATCTGCCCTTGTAGCCCAACCCTCCCATATACACAGCATACTTTTGGGTAAAATAGGAACAGGATAATTGTAATTCATGCTCCTGCTCAAAAAAAGGGGAGAATGAGGATTCCAACACGTATTTATCAAGGGCAAGTCTGAAGTTCTTCTGTACAAATAATCTTGACAGGGAATATTCCTGGAATGTCTCCTACACTGGAGAATATGATCTTTGTGCAGCTGAACTCTTCCTAAACCTGCTTCCTCCCTGAAGGGAGCTACAGATCTTTTTACATCTCGAATCGTCTTAATCTCTGTAGCCTAAGCTGACAATTGTTCGCCTGTGCCTATCTCAAGCACTTTGAGTTTTCTACATATTTGATTCCTTGTAACCCATGTTTCAAAGCCACCTATACAACTATTTCTGAGTTATGCATCTCTTGACCTAATTATGCCTACTTTGGATACATTAGTCTTCTGTGACCTTAACCTTTCTGGGGGCTTTATTTTTATTTTTTTATTTTTGGTACTAGGGATCAAACCCATGGATTCTATATAACCTCCCAGCCCTATCTATCTATCTATCTATCTATCATTTATTTGTATTTTTATGATATTGGGGATTGATACAGGGTCTTACTAAGTTGTTAAATTGTCCAGCTGGGCTCAAACTTGCAATCCTCCTGCTTTGGCCTCCCAGAGTGCTGTAATTAAATGCAAGTGCCACCATACTATGCCTGGCTGTTTGTTTTGGTTGTTTTTGTTTTGAGACAGGGCCTCACTAAATTGCTTAGGCTGGCCTCAAATTTGCAACCTTCCTTCCTCAGCTTTCTGAGAAGCTGGGATAACAGTCATGCACCATTACATTTGGCTCTGTAAACTCTTTTGACCAGCTCAGAGGATGCAGTACTAGGTGGTAACTTTAGAATGTTAAAAAAGAGATGTCAACTATACTCTTGATTTGATCTGGCCCTGATGCTGTATCATAACTATGATCTTGGTTTGATTTTTGTCCCCAGGCTGTATCCTTTCTTCTAAGCACTCCCTACAGATTGGCTATTTATTTTGGGAGTTCCTCTCTTTCTTCTGAGTCTTTATCAAATGCAGCCAAAAAGAACCAGCTCTTGACTTTAACATTTTTCCTGGGAACTGTCTTGTTGAAAGCTATCCACTCTCTTCAACTTATTGGAGATGGCGGTTTTGTCAAGTTTTGATCCATGCATAATCCTGGGTATTTTCTTTGTTGTTGTTAGTATGGGGGTTGAATCCAGGACTTCACTAAGCTACATCCTCAGCTTAGCCCTTTTTTATTGCTTGTTTTGAGATAGGGTCTTGTCAAATCACCCAGATTGGCCTTAAACTTGTGATTCACCCTGCCTCAGCCTTCCCAGTAGCCAGTATTACAGGCAATCACCACCACTCCTGGCTTCTGGGCATCCTTTTTTCACCTCCTATAACAGTTTACTTCTAACTGACTACTTGGTTCTAAAGTCGATGCTACATATTTTTAGTTTTTATTGCTATCACACTCCACTTTTGGTCCTAGTTTTTGTCAGTCAAATAGCATAACAGTAATGCTTTGTACAAATAAGCATGTGATTACAATAATGGCACACAATAAGAAGCATTTGTTCTTATTCACGATTTTGCAGGTCAGTTCCTTCTTCCCTCCAGCAGGGGTGGCGAACCTATGGCACTCATGCCACAGCCAGTTGATTGTTACCATTGAAAGCTCTAAAAAGTTCACCATCACTACGCTACGTCCTGGGATCAAAAGGTGGCCAAAAGAATCAGTGGCCTAACCAGGGCATGTTCTTCCCATAGTGGTCGCAGACATCAGGGGCAACCTCATTTTACAAACACATTTCAAATCTCTTTGACACATCTGCTAGCATCCAACTGGTCAAAACAAGTCATGAGTCCAAAACCAAACTCCAGTGAAATACATCCTACCTTTAATAGGAGAAACTGTGGTTATAGAGTAAAGAGCATGAATACAAAGAGGGGCTTAGAGTTGAGGTCAGGCATTCAATCACAGCAGCCCCAGCACATCCCATATGGTTATTGCAGCATTTGGCATTAACTATAGAAATGTGAGGCTAACTGAAATGTTAGACTCAGTTTGGAGTCCTTTGCCCAAACCAAGATAATCAAGAAGGTATAAAGTAGTAACATCTCATATCTGCCCAGACATGTAGAGACATATATGAAATCTTGTAATGCTGGGCCTATGTATGATATGAAAACATGTAAAAACACATGCATACTGATATTCCCATATGTATGCACATATGCCTAGTAT